GGTGAGTGTGAGGAGCCATTGCCATGTGAGAGGCTGCAGCGCCAGCCCTGTGCCTGGCCCCAGCTCTCTCTGCTGCAGGGGACCGAGCTGGCCCCATGTCCTTCCCCGCCAGCTGCTGGTCTTGGCTTGGTTTGGGTGTTGCTGCAGCCTTGAGCGTCCTCTGCCCGCAGGAGAGAACTACAAGACGGAGGGTTACGTGGTGACGCCCAACACCATGGCTCTGCTGAAGCACCACCTGGCAATCACGGGCGGGCAGGTGAGGCCGTGTCCCACAGCCCAGCAGTTCCCTGCGAGGGCAGCACTGTTGTGCCAGGCTCCAGCCAGGAGGGTGAAGGAACACAGGTCACACAGAGGCAGGATCCATGTGGCACACAGGCTCTGTGGGATCATCAGGGGCTCATGTTGGTGCCTCAGCTGTCAGGGAAGAGGAGAGTCTCCTGCCAAAGAACAAAGGTGTCCTCTTTTCCCCCTGCAGGTGCGGACACGGTTCCCTCCTGAGCCCAATGGCATCCTACACATTGGCCATGCCAAGGCCATCAACTTCAACTTTGGCTACGCCAAGGTGAGAAGCACCAAACCCTGCTGGCAGCTGCCCCCTCAGCCCCAGCCTCCCCTCTGCTGCTTGGCCGCTGGCCTAGCCCTGTAGTCCCTTACAGAACAGCTCCTCACTGTCTCCCCTTCCCTAGGCCAATGGCGGCGTGTGCTTCCTGCGGTACGATGACACCAACCCCGAGAAGGAGGAGGAGAAGTACTTCACGGCCATCCGGGAGATGGTGGAGTGGCTGGGTATGGCTTGGGCTGGGGAGGGCAGGATCAGGCCAGGTGCTGCTGCTGGGGACATCCCTGCATACGGGCCCTGCTGCTGAGCCCTGGAGGGTGCCTCCAACCCCCTCTGTTTCCCCCACCCGCCAGGGTACCAGCCCTACGAAGTAACCCACGCGTCAGATTACTTTGACCAGCTCTACACCTGGGCCCTGCAGCTCATCTGCCGGTGAGTGTGTGGGGTGGCACAGATGCTCTGGGGCGATGCAGGTGTCCTGTGCTATGGCCGGGGCTCCCCCTCACACAGGGGATGAGCCGCTTGTGTCTAGTGACGGCATTTCCCTTCCGCAGGGGCCATGCATACGTCTGCCATCAGAAGGTCGAGGAGATCAAGGGCCACAACCCACCGCCCTCGCCATGGCGGGACCGGCCTGTGGAGGAGTCGCTCCTGCTCTTCGAGGTACTCATGGCTGGGGACAGGCACTGCTGTGTGCCTGTGGAGTCCAGGTCCGTGGCTCAGCCCACAGCTTCCTCCCCTGGCTCCGCAGGACATGCGAAAGGGCAAGTTTGGGGAAGGGGAGGCCACGCTGCGGATGAAGCTGGTGATGGAGGACGGGAAGATGGACCCCGTCGCCTACCGCATCAAGTTCACTCCACACCACCGCACCGGGGACAAGTGGTAGGGAGGGTCTGCTGTGTTCAGGGAGAGGGGAGGTGTTGGGGGAAGAGCAGCATCGGGCTTTGCCCCAGGGCTGACTGTGTCTGCCTTGCAGGTGCATCTACCCCACGTACGACTACACGCACTGCCTCTGCGACTCCATTGAGCACATCACGCATTCTCTTTGCACCAAGGAGTTCCAGGCCAGGTGAGCGCTGTGCATGGCACAGCCCAGAGCTGAGCTGGACTTGGCAGGGCAGCGCTGTGGGGGACAGCGTGTCCGTGGGGATGTGGACGGGTGTGAGGCTGAGCCGGGCTGTGTCTGTGACTTCTGGGCAGGCGCTCCTCCTACTTCTGGCTCTGCAATGCACTCGATGTCTACTGCCCTGTGCAGTGGGAGTACGGGCGCCTGAACCTGCTCTACACCGTCGTCTCCAAGAGGAAGATCATCCGGCTGGTGGAGACGGGCGCTGTAAGGTAGGAACGAGGCCGGCAGCCAGAATGGATCTTCCCTGGGGCACGGCGGGCTGTCACACTGGTGTTTTCTCAGGGACTGGGATGACCCGCGACTCTTCACGCTGACAGCTCTGCGTAGGCGAGGCTTCCCCCCTGAGGCCATCAACAACTTCTGTGCCCGGGTAGGTGCCAGGGACAGGATGGGATGGGACCGGTGGCTGTGTTCCCTGGCTGGTGTGGTGATGGCAGGCTGTCCTGCA